AGTGCAGGACTTCCTTGGCCCCAGGCTTAATATCGTCCCACAGACTTCATGTAGGGTGGAAAAGTACCCCGAAGTTAAGGGTTCCACAAGGGGATTTTGAGGGTAGAAAGCGTTGCGCAGCCCCAAACCCTACAACATAGCGAGTTTAGACACATTTTTTTGATTAACCACCCTAAAAGCCGTAGGGTTTTTTGGATCCTAAGGTTGAATCTTCCAGGTTGCCTGCCCAAGCAACTTAGGGTCAGCGGATTTAGGGTTAAAGGGATTAGGGATCTTGGAGTTCAAGGTTCTTGGTGCAGGAGTTATGTGTTTCGAGGTCTGGGGATATGATGGCACTTCCTCCCTTGGAGACGATTTTTGGGCTTGCCTTCGTAAACCCCGATGTAAGCTTCGAATCTCAAACTTCCCAACTTCACCAACACCCCCAAAAAGCTCACCTTGCTTCATATTCAGGAAAAAGGTGATGAAGTCACTCCCAGAAGCCCTTAAACCTCTGGGTTTCGGGTCTAAGTTTGAGCCGTTCACATCTCCACCTAAACCACGTTAGATCCTGGAGATTGTTGGCTTACGGCTGCCGAGACCACAGAACCCTAAATCCTAAACTCTGAACCCCCAAGCCTAAAGCCATAAACGCTATATCCTGAAAGCTTGCGAGCCCTGGACTCCACCAGGTTCTCATCGTGGTGTTGCTTTGCTGCGTGGGCTTCATCTTCCAGCAACTGACCTGACTCTGGCCGCTGGCTCGGTACAGGTTGAAGGGGTTGTATAGCTAATGAGTACTTGAGGAATCCTTATAGCGGTTTATACATCGACAATCGAATGAGGGATTTTAGGGTCTTTGGGTGTTCAGGAGCCATGACAAGTCTGATGTTTTGCCACAGCAAGCTCATGATTGATCCGCACGTTATAGGTGCACTCATGACCAACAGGCACGCAGCTCAAAGAGGTTGTTCCGAGATGGGCGCTGGGCAGAGCCAAGAGACAACGTTTTCCCCAAAGACTCAAAGTTTCCTGGAAAGCAGTTTTCAGTTAGGACTTCGAGCCCAAGAGCTAACTATGCCGTAAAGCATAGGTATGTGGAGCCTCGACACTGTCATGGTGTTGGCAGCAGAGTAAGCTAGACCCAACGAGAACTCTGAGAAAGCCTCAAACCAGGGTTCGGAAGACTCTGAGAAAGCCTCAAACCAGGGTTCGGAAGACTTGAGTACTTGTGATACTCATTTATACTTCCCTTATCAATATAGTGTAATACTTATACCCCCAAATCCTATCGCTTTCCCACAGGCTCCATGTACTCATATAGTAGCTACTTAGGCCTTAAAGTACCCATATAGGGACCCCTTTAAGCCCTAAGTACCTACTATATGGGTGCATGGAGTCTTAGGGTTTGATGATGAAGACCGCTGCATTGCTGCAAGCCCCACGTTCTTGCCAGGAGCTCGAAGTCTGAGCAGGTCGGAGATAATGCACCAGCCCTCCCGTCTTTGCGGATCACACACACGCGCACACACACACATGCAGGGTGTATTTGAGCCCCCTAAAAAACCTGGCCTTTCAGGATTCATGGTTCTGCTTTCGTTTCTGTGGGTCACTAACAATGTACGTTTTGCAGGTTCAGGGCACGCTGAGGGAAGTCTCAGACAGAACGGACTTTGAGTTCCTCTTGAAATAGTTTATAATTTTATAATGATTAACATTGAAAGCTTGTTTTCACATGTACACGGAAGCCTAGCATATACCATATACGTATTGAATTGCGGCTGCAGCAAGTTACGTGGATCTCTGCAATCTCCGAACATGTAGGCTAGAAAGTGGAGGCTAAGAAGGTTTTGGGCCAACACTATAGACTAATTTTTATGTATAAGGGGGTCCTTGGGCTTGAGGTACCTCTGACCAGGTGTTGTTGAGATACCCCCTAGCCCCAACCCCAAACACCCAAGCTCTAAACCCTAACACCCAAATCCTGAAAGTCAGCATTCCTTTTGATTTGGTGATCTGAAAGATGGCAGAGTTCAGCAGCCTTTGTAGGTCGCTGCCCACCGAACACGAGAAGGTTTAGGGTTTAGGGTTTCCGGAAGTGCCTGCATGATGTGGGCTTAGAAAGACTAGAAGTAGCCTTGTTACGTGGGACAGTACCACAAGTCTTACGACTCAGAGGGCTGAAGAAAAAGATGTGATAATCTGCTATGTAATTTTGGAAATGCCGGGGCTTCGGCAAACAAGGATATCTACATACTCCAGAACAGTACATAGCAAGATCTTCATGTAAGGGCCCCTAAAATGCACCTGATATTGAGAAGCCTTTCAAAAGCGCTTGTAGAAACATTTAAAAACCAGAAGAAAACCTTACGTATAAGGCCCTATAGCGATGCCATGGAACCCCGGGAAAACTTTTCTAAAGCCCCAAACCATTAAAAAACGAAGCCCCAAGATGCAGGCTTTTCCTAGACCCTAAACCGTCAGGGTTAGGGTTTAGAGTTTAGGGGTTTAGGGTCTAGGGGGTTGGGTCTAAGATGTGTAAAAAGCCTTTAGTGTTTTCGGGTGAAGCGACTCAGGCTCCCGGATGCTAGGGCTTACGCTGTGCCGGTACAGGATCCGAGGTGTTTAGGGCGTAAGCTTGAGGAAGTTAGGCTTCAGGGCTTCAGGGTATAGGATCTTTGGGTTAAAGAGCTGCTATGAGTTTTCGGTTCAGAGACAATTACTCATTGTCCTGCGGACTTTCCCCAACAGCATGTGACACAGGTTCCTCCTGTAGGATAGGGCCGAAAAGGGATCTAAATAGAATGGTCTCCGATTTTCTGATTTGTTTCGGCTGGGCTTGTTGGCCGAGACCTCTGCATCAGTTCGACGTGGGGTCCCTTGCGGCCGGCTGCCGTGGGAGAGTGCTGCAAGTATTCCTTGAGCCCGGCACTCCTTGTTTGACCCATAAGCATCTTGTTTCAGAGGGACCTAAACCCTAAGCCGTAATACCAAGACATATGTGGTATATCCGCTATAGGTGAGAGTCTGCAAATTTAGGCTTTCTGCTCAACTTGCCCCTTACTGTGGTTTTCGGCCCAAACAACAATCTTAAAATATACCCCCAAGCTCTGTTGCAAGTAGAAAGGCCGGCACATTTGGGTTGCGCTTTCGGGCCGGAAGGCATAGCTCTTCGTAACAGTGCCTCGTTAATGAACTCCCTCCCCTCATAAGGGTTGAAAGGGGGATTCCAGCAATTACGGTCTTTAAGCCTAATTACTTTGAAAATACCTCAAATGGGGTTAGCGGTGAGTCATTTTGAGTTTGTATACATGTAGGAATTTAGGGTACCATGCTTTACTTCTTGTGAGGATGGGGCTGGCTCGTATAAAACTCCAAGAAAGCTCCCAGACGCAAACATGCCATACCCCTCCCTGTTGCAGGGGTTTTCTACATATATATATATATGTGTATATATACATATATGTCTACTTGTCTATTGTTGGCTAATTAAAGTAAACATGCATTCTTACATATAAACATACAAAATCTATAGTCGGATTTACATGTATATAGAGTCATGTGCATTTGAAATTCAATGGCCTGGCCTTCAACGACTTAAGAATCATGGGTTAAGCTCTAACTCACGAACCTTCCTCGCCCCGCGAAGTCGCAGCTTGCACCCCATTCGGAAGTACAGTTTCCCGAAACGAGCTGTTCGCGCAAGAGAGAGGAAAAATGGGCGTGCGGGACGAGGGAGGGTTGACATGGGTCGCCTCTTGTCTGTTCTGCCTTGCCAGGCGTCTCCTGTGTGGCTTTGGAGATCTTGGCATGAAGTCTCAAGAGTCATCGAGACGTTCAGTAGCATCAGCTGCTTTACATCCTGATGTAATTGCGCCACTCTACCCTCTGGCTAGTCGTTTTCGTTGGGTTTCAGGTTGAGCGAGACCAAGGAGCCTACCCTAAGAGCCGGATAGACGCGTACAATCCCTTCCCCCTAATATTCAAACCGCCCCTAATAAAAACACTCCCGGGCCCTAGAATTTCGCGGTTTCGGGCCCACAATTGAAAGTTATTTCAAAGCATTGGGGCGGGGGCTAGGGTTGTATGAGATTTTAAATGGAGCCAAAGACTACAGCAGTATTAATCAGAACGAAGAGACCAGAGCTTTAGGGTGTAAGGGTTTAGTGCTAAAGCTTCAGGGCTTTGGGCTTCAGGGCTTAGGCTTTAGGGCTCAGGGCTCAAGGTTTAGGGCTTAAGGTTTAGGGCTTTGGGCTTCAGGGCTTTAGGGCTCTGGGCTTTACGGCTTAGGGCTTTAGGGCTCAATCAACACTGCCAATCCCGCGCATACGCGGATGCCCCGAAACCCCCCTTATATTAGAACCGACCCTCCGACATCCAGTTTTCATATTAGGGGGGGCCCTTTAATATTAGGGGGAAGGGATTACGTGATCAAGGTCATGCTAGATTTCAAGCTATACACTGACTTCGAGCTGTCTACACAGGAACAGCTACGTGGTGTATGCAGGGCACAGAAACTCAGGACCTCTTGTTCTAAATCGAATAGATGAGGATATTGCTGTTTAGGGGTTCTATATAAGGGTCTCTTGTTGACAAAAGGGTTTAGGGTTTAGGGTCCAGCTTTGCCGTTTTGACGCTTACCTTCCAAAGACTAGAAGAAGGCCCCCGAATCGCATAAACCCTCAGTCTCAGTTGACCAACCTCTAGACGCCTTTACGGCCTAGGCTTTCTGGTCTTTAGGGTTTGAGGGCGTTCGGGTTTAGTAAGTAGGTTTCGTGACTGGCTGTACCTTACCCGGAATAACCTACCTTCTTAAGGGCTCCTATAAGGAACTCATGCTAACGACCCCTAAAAAGGTTATTCAAGGTTAAGGTACCTGAAGGACCAAATGACCCTTAAAAGTAGGGGCCCTATACCCATATACTATGAATCCCTATATGGTATATGAACCTTAAACCCTTTTAAGGTTCGTTTCGTCCTTAAGGTAGGGTTTAGGGTTCCCACAGCGCTTCGCTTGCCAGACGGCCGCGGGCAAGCAGAAGGCCAAGCTGCCTCTCGGCTTGAAGTTGAGCCAAAGCCCAAACCCAGAACCGTTATAGAACCCTCATTAGGGTTTAGGGGTTCAGGGTTTAGGGTCTCCTGACCCTTGAACCTTTGAAGGCAGTATGTTTCGAGATTCTGCTCAAAGGGTTCAGCCATGACTCGACCTCATATCGTCACAAGCTAACAGCTCACGGTTTGCTTTAAACTAAATCAATCAAATCCCATGGGTGCCATAACGCAAAAAGCTCACAGATGACCTTGAGCTTACCTGCGTTTTTTGAACACCTTCCCATTGACAAGCTGATATATAGAACGGGGACGACTGTCATTACTGTGGCTGGAGCATGCAGGCTTTCCGAAGACTACCGGCCCTGTTTAAGTCTGGTCGGTGTAAACCTGAAGGACCAAATGACCCTTAAAAGTAGGGGCCCTATACCCATATACTATGAATCCCTATATGGTATATGAACCTTAAACCCTTTTAGGGTTCATTTCGTCCTTAAGGAACAGGATCGAGGTTAAAATCGGTCGGGGGTTCTATATACAGCAGTCCTTTAAAGTCGCCTGTCGCAGTCGTGGTCACAGTGGTACAAGTCGTCCTCGTCCCTGTCCTCGTCCTCGTTGCGTTGTTGTTGCAACCCTGATTAATTTTCGTAGTCGTGCACGCTTCGCACGCTCCACCACTTCGGACCTTGTCCGAGGTCTCAGCTGAAGGACGCCTTCCGATCGAAGAAGAGGCGGGCCTTGTCGAGTATCTAGAATCCTTCTTGTCCTGCTGTCGCCGGTACATTCTCATCCTCGTCACAACGATATCAACTTGACATCGGACCACAGCCGGTGCACTTCTCGTAAGCCGGAACCCCAAACCCGCCAACACCCTCCCCCAAGTGGGCTCTAGACCTCCCTAGACGCTACCTTAACCCGGAAGAACCTACCTTTTCAGGGCTCCTTCTTATGATTTCCTTATAAAAGTCCTTAAAAAGGTAGGTTATTCTGGGTTAAAGTAAGCCCTCATCCCCAAACCGAACTCGGAAAGCTGGAGCCCTGGGCCTTTCCAGTCGCTGGTTCGGGGGATGCTTTAAGAGCGGGGCCCGGTAAGATTGGATACAAAAGCTCGGTTCTTGTAAAGGATTTAACTTAAGTTGCTATAATAAAGAAACCACCTGATTTTCTATAGTTCCCTATTATGGTAAGTTATGGTAGCTTCAATTAACTCCTTCAATAAGAGCCCAGAACAGGTTCTGAAACATGGAATCTTGTCTTCACGACAAACCCACGTCTGAGATCTCAGCAATCATGGCTCCAACGGCTTCAGTGCCGTCTGATTAAGTTTTCCCCTAAACCCTAAACGCTAAACCACCGGGCAGAAGTCGAGAACTCAACTTTGAGACATCTGGGCTGTCTGCGCCTGGGGCCCTGGAAATCTAAACCGTAAACCCAAAATCCTAAGTCCGTGGATAAGCCCAAGAGCGTCGGACCTTGTTTGTTAAGGGATATAAATTTAATAGTCACCATGATTTGGCATCTATCGTACATAATATGATTGCAGTTACCATAATCGGGATCTATAGTAGAATCTATAGTACATAATAGGGTTTCCTTATTATGGTGATTAAAGACCTCCCAAAAGGCCCACAACTCGGCGACGAAGTCGGGAAAGACTCCTAATCCCCAAGGCGTCACCCGCGTTTCTAAGGGCTTGAATAAAATTTCACTCCTTATGATTTTTAGTTTTCATTTGCAACAAAATCTCGTTGTCATGATTAAGGCCCCGATACAGTAGAATATGCTATAGTCTTAATTATATTGAGGCCCATATACATGCGGTGGGGATCTCAGGCCTCATACTATATTCCCGTCTTCGGGTCTACTTGGCCCTTAGATCTAAATCAAGACAGCGTCCGATACGAAGCCAGCAGTCACACCCGCATTGGAAGTGCGGCATAGTCCGTCTAAAGGCCCCCTGAGCCCTAAACCCTAAACCCCTACACCCTAAACTTGAGTTTAGGGTAGCTGTTTTCTAGGTTCGTATGTGGGGGAAGATATGGTTCTTATGTACTTGGACAGTAGGGTTTCCGGGTGCCAAGACGGCTATGGAGAGCCCTCCACATGTGATCAGGCTCGGAGCTGTGAAGAACAAGTTTGCCAAGTCCAAGAAGCCGAAGAAGTGAGACAGCTTCCTGGGAGCCCAGCTGCCCATGTGGTAGGTTGCGGGCCATGCAAAACCATGGTATCTAAAGAACCCTAAACCCTAAACCCTAAACCATCACATCATTCTTGATGCATGTGGGCTTCCAGGGCTTCCTCTTTGGATGGGCGGTTTTCGGGTTTAGGGCCCTAGCTCAGGCCTGCCTTAAATCAGCGGTGACTCCCGGAATCTAATTGGACACCCAATCCTCGCACAGGCTATCTCAACCCCAAATGCCTAAAGACGGCGCTTAACAAAGACGATAGTAAAATACATCTGGGCCCTAAAGCTTCGAAAGAAGCACTCGAACCTCACGGAGCCAACATCATTCGGCTGAGCGCCCTGCGGACAAAAGCTTTGGAGGTTTAGTAGGGTTTCCAGGTTCTTACCTAAACCCCCCCAAAGTAGGTAAAATAATGGCCCAATACCCATAAAAGACTATCCTTCTACATACTTTTGGGGTCCAGGTAAGGTTCTTATAGTCTGAGTTTCGGCTTGAGGGTGCCGGCTGCCGTTTGATTGAAGATCCGAGTGTCCCTTAAAGTACGCGACTCTTCTAGGGTTTGGGGTTCATTTAGGGTTTAGGGCTCTTTTAGGGTTTAGGGTTTAGGGCTCATAGGGTTTAGGGGTTTAGGGCTCATAGGGTTTAGGGGTTTAAGGCTTTAAGGTATTCTATTATCAAGTGCTAAGGCCCCCAGAATCAAGGGCGAACCTACGACTCGGGTGAGTGATGCTTCGGGACTCTGGGCTGGATAATATAGAATATAGTATACTAGTTTTCGTAGGAATAAGAGTAATAGTAATAATAATAATAATAATAATAATAATAACAGTAATGGTAGTACTAGTAGCAATAATACTAGTAGTAGTGGTAGTAGTAGTAGTAGTAGTAGTAGTAGTAGTAGTAGTAGTAGTAGTAGTAGTGGAAGTAGTGGTAGTGGTAGTGGTAGTGGTAGTGGTAGTGGTAGTGGTAGTGGTAGTAGTAGTAGTAGTAGTAGTAGTAATAATAATAATCATAATAATGGCAACAATAGCAATGGTAGCAATAATAGCAATGATTGAACCATTGGCCATAGACTCTAATTCAGGGTAGACTGGGCTGTTGTAAGCCCCCATAGTCTTGCATATAAGTTACCACCAAGTAGTCTTTGGCAGTCCCTACTAGCACCGAATTCTCCCATAGGAAAGCACGCTCCTTCTCCCCGGTCCCCAAACCCTAAACCCTACACCCCTAAACCCTTAAACCCCTAAGCCCCTAAACCCCTAAACCCCTAAACCCCTAAACCCCTAAACCTCTAAACCTCTAAACCCCAAACCCCCAAACCCTAAACCCCTAAGCTCTAAACCCTAAACCCCAAACGCCTAAACCCTTAAACCCCTAAACCCCTAAACCCTAAACCCTAATCTCTTAAACCTTAAAGCCTATGGAAGTTGAAGAACCCCCCCCCCCCCTGACCCTCACCCCCCGGCATCAACCCAAGCCCTCGAGCCTGCAGGCTCGCGAGGCGGTTGGAATATGGCTCATCTAAAAAGCCCTACAAAGGCCCTATAAACCCTATATAATACATGAAAGATTCTTAAGAATAATAGTAATAATAATGCTAACAATATTCATAATGATATTGATAAAATTATATAAGTAGTTGAAAAGCCAGGTGAATCCGCAAAAGCTTCTGAGCCCCAAGCCGGCGTTGAGAAGCCCGCCCGTCTTGTCGCCACATTGGCTCTAAGCACATGGGCGAGAAACATGGGAGTTTCCAACAAGGTATATGAGAGTTTCCAAAAATCTGGTACCTGATTGCGGGGTCCTTAAAATAAGCATCCAAGCTTAGACATCCGGACAAAAGTGATTTCAATGACACCGGCCTAACCATAAAACACAAACTTAAGCCCCGAAAACCAACACACCGAGCCCGAGATCGAGTGGAAGAAGCAGAGCCTTAGCCCGAAGCCTTAAGGAAGCAACGCAGCTCAGCGCCTAGCCTCTTCAAAAGTGGAAACCCTAAAACCCGAAACCTTAAGCTTCGATCCGGCGGACGAAAAAATGACTAATACTAACATGAATAGCACTGCTAATATTAATGTTAATATTGCTTAAACCAAAGCAGACTAAAGCTCTTCAATTCAGTCAAGGTAGCATTCGATCGCTTGGCGTGCGTGCAGGGTCAAAGTCGTCCCGCGCTCTCGAGGCATCGGCGTTGATGCCGTGTGCATGGGTCGAGCCGAAGCTGAAAATAGGCGTTACCCAAAGGCCCCAAAGTAGTTCCTTTTTGGAGTTCATATATAAAATCCTATAAAGTAATCCCAAAAAGGAACTACTATGGGGCCTCTGGGTAAGCATAAGGGGGTTGTTTTGGGCTGAGACTGAGATATGTGCGTCGTCAATCCGAGTTGGAGCATGCAAGCAAGGGTTAGCTTTGAGGTGGCCAGGATCCGATTAGCCTATGTTTGATTTAGCTACGAATCGACCCTGCTAATGCATTGTGCTCTGATGCCGGCAAACTCGAACCCTAGCCGAAAGCCTAGCACCTAAACCTCACTCACTGAATCTTGCAATCTAAACCCTGAGCCTGGTCGGAGCTTCGCGTGGGCTGCTCTTGATGGTGGTGATGTACTGCGAGCTCACGGCTGCGATGGTTTGGGATCGAAGTATTGAGCGGGAACAGTGGGTGTAGTAGTTGCCCGCCCTATATGGGTTTTTCATGTGGTTTTTGCTTCAGACCGTTAGATTGGTCGATGGGAGAAGGGCCATCGCAACAACGACTAAACCCAAGAAGTGTTCCATTCTACTTGCCAGGACTTCCGTTCCTTTTTTTCGGGGTTACCGCAATTTAGGAAACCGAAAGTTCCGAATTCAGGAAAGTGAGGTTTTAGGGTTCAGGGTTTGGGGGTTCATGGTTTAGGGTTTAGGCTGCTGGGTCCATCAAACGTCTCAAAGCAGACCTCGGGAAACTGCGACGAACTCCCGAATCCTGGACCTTGAAGGTCCAGGATTCGGCGTTAAGGGTTGAGCGGTTTAGGGCGGCATGCAACCCTGAACTTACTTCAACCCTGAATAACCTACCGTACCTTTTTTTAGGGTTCCTTATCATGATTTCCTGAAATACAAGTCCTTCAATTTAAAGCTAGGTTACTCCAGGTAAACCTTAAACCCTAAACCCTATGTCCTGAACCTATCCGGAGGTCTTCCATGCGCGGCACCTTGCACCATCTCAAGCAGCTGGCCTCACCGAAGTCCAACGAAGGCCGTTGCTGGATTTTCTGTTGGGGTTTTCAGTGTAGGATAAGGATTTTGGGTTTCCGCAATATTCAGTCATGAGGGTAGGCGTCCTTTTGGTTGTATGTGCGAGGAACGGCTTCAGAGGGTGTACGTGGGTGAGGCAACTTGACACTCGAAGGGCTCAGTGCTACCTTGCCTGCACGAAACGGCATAAACGCATCGATTTTCTGGGGGCCCCTGATACTCCCAATGTGAGATTATTATATTGCTGTGCTTTCGGGCCCCTGTGATACACAACATGAATCAATGAAGTATACCACTGCGCTGCTTGAACCTTTGTCTTGGTCCCTGATTTGCTTGAGGAGCGGGGTTGTGGCTTGTTCGCTGGGTTTCTCGGGCTTGCAAGGTTTGCCGGATCCAAAACATACTCCGGTTTAGGATACGAGTCAATGTGCAGTCGTGCAATGCCATAAACACTTGAAGACTGTCCTAGTCCCGCAACCGGCAATGGTTCACGTGAAGAACGCTTCCTGAGACTTTGCATGGCTTTGGAGGTACATCTTGGACCGAAAAAAAAGACACCCAGAATCCGATTATCAGGATGCACTGAACGGAAGCATCCGTTGTCAGGTAGTACTTCTCATCGAAGAAGTTCGCAATCACCAACACAACGACACAAAGCCCTTTTGGGAGCTTAATGATTAGACCAGGGATCCTTCGGGCCCATATGGGAGTTTCCGAAAATGGGGGACCCTAGTGTAGTACCCTAAATAGTAGGATCCTGATTATAAGGACCCCAAAATAAGGTACCCCTAATTTCGGAAACCCTCATATGTAGATACAGTTCTCAGATAAAATCTTCAAAACCCTGTTCCCTCGACTAAGGCCCCTGTTTTGACTTATCCGGCTAACGCTCGAACCCTTTGGCCGAAGTTCTTATAGCATGAAATCTGTCAGCCTCAGCTGCTGAAGAGGAATCCTGCAAAAGGTTCTTGAACGGCTTTAGTCGGGTTCCACATGGCTCTTCCTGAAGGACCAAATGACCCTTAAAAGTAGGGGCCCTTTTCCCCATATACTATGAATCCCTATATGGTATATGAAACCCTTTTAGGGTTCATTTCGTCCTTAAGGTTAGGATTCAGTTAGGATGCTGCGCTACGGTACTGTACCCATGTCTCTGCTAGATGCAGGACGATATTATGCTTGAAAGCAAGGTTGAAAGACCCTAGACAGCCTCAGCTGGGCTTCACGTTTCTCGTTCAGTGTTTACTTTCAGGCTCTCTTTCTCTCTTTGTCTCTCTCTCTCTCTCTTTCTCTCTCTCTCTCTCTGTCTCTCTCTCTCTCTCTGTGAGAGAGGGTCAGACTTTGGGTATACTGCTCTGTTGGGGCTGGCGAATGAAGAGGATTTTGATGGGGCTGTAAGGTGCACAGACTCGCATTTAGGCTTTCAGAGTACATGCATGGGATCCTCAACATGTTTAGTTAAAAAACCCCGATATCATTTCCAATGCTTCCTTGCTATGGTTTCATTGTTGTATACCACAAATCCCTTTGGCAACTGTCCAGGCCCCTACCCATAGGCCCCATAGTAGTTCCTTTTTGGGATTACCTTACAGGGTTCTATATATGAACCACAAAAAGGAACTACTTTGGGGCCTATGGGTAAAGTAGATATGAGGCCGAAACCATGGCTACCCAATGCGGCTCCTCCAGCGTGCGTCCTCCGTGCCAGACTCGGTTGGGCGAGGTTTTGGGCTTGGCGC